AAACCCACTGAAGTGCAATGGTGTTATTGATAGATACACCGACGTGAGTGTGTGGTTACGCTGGAGTGCGATGGTCTGATGAAGTGTGATAGTGTTTACTAGACAAAATTCGATAGTCAGGAGTTTAAACCACATTAAATTTGGTGGGAAAGTTGTTAGCGTGCTTGATTAGCATTCGAAAGTAGAGGTTTGATTTTTGGTCAGGTCAAACCAATGACTTTAAAATTTATATTGATTTTTCGATTAACAAGCAGCAGTATGAAAATAGACTAGGTATTTCAGAATAAGTATAATGAGTTCGATTTGGGTTACATGTCTTTATTCGAACTGTTACTTCAGCGTGCAAGTCCAATAGAAAACGGGTTTAGCGTATCGGTATAGATAGTACTATTAAGCAGGCCCCATCTCATATTAGAGATTTCCAATAAAATTACATACGTACGTAACTCGACGTACGGACCTAATGGGACTGGTTATTGCCAACCATTGAATTTGATTAAATACGTCTCTCAAGTTTAAACAGGGTATTCCAAGACTTTTAAAATCACACAGTGGAATTTTTTGTCCATATAAAATAATTTTATCATGACAAAAAATGATAGAAATCTTGCATTGTTATTTATCACGTGGTTTTCGAGATTCCCGCCTTTATTTTCACTGACAATAGGTCACGTATAAACACACGTATCCCATTCCTATTATACTTACGATTTGAGTTATCTTTCATGATTTTGATTATGACAATTAGTTTTCAATATACTTTGCAGATGAACGCCTCATTATACTTTTTTCTGTCTTTCTTTATAGTTTATCTATATTTTTATTATATTTGTTGCGGGAAAATATTTAGAAGGCGGGGGGTATAGGCACATTAGAAGTGGAACAAAAATAGAAGTGTTAATAGGATATAGGGGCATACATATAAGTGTTCGTTGCATATTTATTTTACATATGCATATTAAGGACGAGAAGATGTATATGAACCAGACTTTGTATAATACCGCAGTAAGACATGTCAATCTATCTGATACCCAGACACATGATTTTGACCCCGGACCAACCAATCTATGCTCTAACTCCTAAATATTGCGTGCTTGGCAGAGAGGCAGCCAATCTTCGATTTGAAACGGGCGAGGATCGAGCCCAAGACTTCCCGCACTCGAGCAGTGGTGTAGCTTTCATTTTTTTGACCATTGAAAAAAGAGAGATAAAGAGAATTATATACCATGTACGTCATAGTATAAAGTATACTGAGTGACGACGGTTCAAAACGTTGACTGCTTTACTCTTTACTCACTCATTCCTCATTATTAACGTCTTGAAAACTTTCTTTCATAAAATGAACAAGGTAGATGCAAATATCTTTTTTAAGCAGTTTCATTGAAATATATTGTTTTATGCGCACTAGAAATATTATTTAGTGATAAAATTCCACAAATCTGGATTTTTCATAGACAGGATCGTTTTGCCAGTGTGTGACCTATCAAGAGTATGATCACCTACACCTATTTTACGATTCATATTTTCAATTAACCGTCCACTCCCTGTTGACTTTGACGTCTTTTAACCAAGGTAAGACTTTGACTGCCAAGATTCAAATAATTTGCCTCACCAGAAATAAAGTTCAAGTTACGCTACTGTCGATTGATTGATAGTTGGTTGCTTAACGTCCAGTGGCAATTATTTCATGCATAATTAACGTGTAGAGAGCGTAGCATTCTCTCTATAAGAGGCCTTGGAATTAACGTTCCCACTCTGACCGGACGGGACTGCGTACTTGTACATCCCACACAACCAAACGGACTTCCCACTTTGGCAATGGTTTAACTGCCGATCGGAACAAGACCAATAGTGACCATATTTCTATTCCCCCGATCACCTTTGAGGGGTTACTGTCGAGGCGAGCGCGCGACCAAATGCAAAAAGACAGTTATGAATATGGAAGATACATATACATGTACGTGTATTAATCAAAACATTTGCAACAAGAATGTGTGGCCTCAAGACACCGTGCCTCTTCACATGATCATATTTCTATGTTCAGTGCACCACTTAATCCGGGTCAAACTCTAATTTGGTATATAATTTTAAACGATTTATATTTTGAATAAAACGGAAGAACGGACGGATGCACAGACCAGTAAATATAATATCCCCTTGCTAATATAAGTTTGTCATAAAACTAAAATGATCATCCTACTTAACAAAACTTCAATAAAATATTCCGTACATGTCAGTTTTTCATACGTATTTGTATAAGTTAAACGCCAAACATTTTAGAGAAACAATATAAGAGCAAAGACTTTAAATTATGCATTCGTTTGTATGGGCTCTTCCTAGAGTCCATGCATCAATATAATTGAAGACAAGATATTATAAATTAACTGATTCAGTAAAGTGTAATCATATTTTTCATTGAAGATGCGTCCTCATAATTTCCATTTGATAAAATTCAACGGAAAGGTGACAAAGTATGCTAAAAAAAAGAAGAAGCAAGTCGTGTACACCTTTTAAATTCCGGCGTGTTTGAAACTCTTGTTTTAATTTTATATCTTTTAAATAAAAAATGATAATATGATCTCGCTTCAGATTCTTTTATTTTTATTTTTTTCAAACTTAATTTTGAGATACATATATGGGTCAAGTAAAATGACGAAGTAATGATCGGTGCATTTGAGTTTGTGCTAGTTTTTAAATAGCATCTATTCCAACAAAGTATGGGTTATGTCGAGTAATGTCATTTTATTGGAAATCTCTATTATCACATATAACTTGTTCTCGGCGTAACATAGCCGAGAAATGGCCCATTTAGCGTTAACAACAATCACTCGTTCATTCATCTGATATCGGAATAGTGTTACAGAAATAAAAACCGTCAAGTTCATTTATGCTTGACTTATAATAAGGCGTGTTCATGTGCATGGTGTGGTTCACAAAAACTGTAAAATAAGCTTCTTCTCGATTTTGCAGGAGAAATTGAAAGGAGCACAAAGGGACCAGTTGGGTTTATTTCGGCTTAAAGTGTTGCAGAAGATTGATCAGGCAGATATCCAATTAAACAAAAGAAATGGAATTCTTTATAAGAAAAGGTAAAAATGGTCAAGTTGGTATATTTGAATTGATTACATCTGTTTTTATGGGCTCTAATAGTATGAAGCTTCGAGATATTTGTAAACTTTTGAATTAAAGACAAATTTTCACAAAACAGGCTTGAGATACGTGCAAATACATTTTGATCTTTACTGTGCAAAAGCATAACTTCCGGCGAAAAAAAATGTAACAGAAAGTTAAGAGATTGATCTTTTTAAAGCATTTTTTTTGCATCTTTGACTCCGGTATTAGTTTGTAGCAAAAAATTCTAAAAATGAGCAATAATCTCACCGAAAAGAGAAAGTCGGTTACACCTTTTTATGTTCAGGCGTGTTTGAGTTGAATGTTGTGTCTTGAAAACGTATAAAGCAAAAATATTAGATGCATCATCTCGCTTAAGATTCCATTTAATTTATATATGCAGGCTACATGTTGATATTATTACATTAAAAACACATGAACACAGTATCAAGAAATGCAAAATATGGGTCAAGTAAAATACCTTTCTAATGAATAAAGGAAGCTATTAAACCAAGAGTTTAAAATGGTGAAGTTGAAATCATCCCTTCGTAAATTTTACGGACGCCATCACGAGTTGGTTGACCGTTATGGAATAACCGTTTCACAGATGATATCGGATATGTTCCTTATGTCGTTACTTCAATACCCTTCCCTTTTCACGAATGTGACCTACCGAATTAGACTATTTACCGGATTTGTAATAACATGAGCAACACGACGGGTGCCACATGTGGAGCAGGATCTACTTACCCTTCCGGAGCACCTGAGATCCCCCCCAGTTTTGGTGGGGTTCGTGTTGCTTAGTCTTTAGTTTTCTATGTTGTGTCATCTGTACTATTATTTGTCTGTTTGTCTTTTTATTTTTGGCCATGGCGTTGTCAGTTTGTTTTCGATCTGTAAGTTTGACTGTCCCTCTGGTATCTTTCGTCCCTCCTTTACCTAACATTATTATGTTCTAATTCATAAGTTCAGACGAACATTATAAATTATTTACAAGATAAACTCAACAAAAGGTTTTACTACAAGTATCACATAAATTGAACATTTAAAAAATCCATGACAATGAGGTCAAGGTCAGATAAATCATGTCAGACAGATATGTAGACCTATTATTTCATACACCAAATATAGTTGACATATTGCTTATTATAATTGAAAAACAGACAAAAACAAAAAAAAACTTAACATTGACCAATGAGCCATGAATATTAATTCAAGGTCACATGATATCTGCCAAACAGGCATGTGCATCTTCTAACTACTTCATACACCAAATATAGATGAACTATTCTTCTTAGTATTTGAAAAATAGACCAAAACACAAAAACATTGAACCATGCAAATGAGGTCAAGGTCAGATAAAACCGGCTATTAATCCATATGTATCGCCTACTGCGACTTCCGTCGCAAACGAGACAAAAACGAGAACTTTTCGAGAAAGTTCGCAAAATAACTATTATTATTAAGATCAAATATATAGTGATGTTCATTTTGGGATAAAAATTCTTTTAATTCTAAATTGAATACGGAACTGAAATTCACTGTCATGCAACAGAAATGTATCGTGCGCACAACTTCTTATTAAATCAACTTATTTCGTTTAAAATTTTATATACCAAATTTGCCAAAGGTTTGATGAGTATCAATGGAATAAAAAAAAACAACCATAGGAAAACAAAATGAAAAATAGCATTATAATTATGGAGCTTTAACTACATTGAGATATATAAATGATTAATCATTTAATTAATAATGATGCGGAAATAATGTTTAACATGCGACGCAGGAAGTGATTTTTAAAACAATATATGTTTTTGTCCACGTTCAATCAATAACTTCCGTTATAGTTTCATTGACCAGATAGGGGATTGCGATCTTTTTTTTATGAAACTAGATTTATTTATTAATGTCACGCTTTAACAATATTTCCGCATTATCAATTTATTAATTATGGTGCAGACTTATATATTTCTTGTCATATTATCGGTCAATTTCTTTCGCTTGAATGGGACGAACACAACCTACAGAAGATGTGAAACAAAATTTGGGTGATTATTTTTACTTTTGTTTTTTAAACAAAATATGTGACAAGCTTGACATAATAATCAATCACATATATAATCCTTTATTATTTTAAAATCATTGGTTATTTTCATTGAAGGAATGGTACGATTAAGGTCCACTGTTGCGATAATCACGAAACCAAAAATGGATTATGTGTTGGTAAGTAATAAACGACTTATACATTTGCAGTTGATGTTTATCTTTACTATTTGTGAACAATACATGAGACAAAAATAGTTCACAGTACAACACAAACAAAGACAAAAGACAACAAATGACCTTGATATTTTGAATAACTGCAAACACGTAATTAGGTGGCGATAAACCAGTTTCAACCTCACGAAAAGATAAACAATAATCTACAAAACACAAGACTGAAGACGAAACAACAAGAACCATAGAAAATACGAGGTTGCTTTCAGATGTGTCAGAAAGGTTATTAGATCCTGTGAGAAAATGAACAAGGAATTAAAAAAACAAGATATGTGATTTCGAAAGGCGGGTACAAAATGTAGTTTCTAATACAGTAAGCTACATCCGTTTGTTGCATACTTCCACATTTTGCGAGAGTGTTCAAAAGTCTCTGGTATATGCAACCTTGTAAAGGTAGCTTTTGTGTAAACGAATGATAACGTTTGATAACGTTTGATAACGTTCGTTAAAATAAGTTTCACTTCATCATATTCTAGAAAACTGTACATGTTTTGAATGCTATACTGCATTTTTTGTCGCAATTGTGTCACTATTTCAATGCTGAAATTGACATTGTAATTTTTACGTTAACCATTATAAATTCTTTGACAAATACAATGTATCTGTTTCTCAACTAACAAGTAACACGTTTAAAGATCTAAGATTTTATACTAGCAAAGTTGTCCGATCTGTATTGTTAAACACTTGTGACATTTTACTAAGCAAGGAATGTTTAAGGTGGTATATTGTATGCACGACAGGAGACGCTTGTCATGTCGGGGAACCTGGTCTCCGTTTTTTAAGTTAATGCGATTCTGTGTTTATTTACATCGATTTGAAGTGCATGTATGAGATTTTAACAAAGTATATCTGCCGATGACGATACTATTTTCAGCTGATAAGAAATAATTTGGTATTGTGACAGACTTTCCATCTTCATTAAGGCAATTAATAATACTATTCAACTAATTCATTCCGGTTAATTAAAAAAAGAAGACATATGAAAATGTGAGGTTAAAAAATCATTGAAACAAGATATGATTATACCGTAAGACAAAAAAAAAGCGGTTGTTTACAAAAATGCACAAAACTCTGGCATCTCTCAGGTGAACTGGAATCGAAAATATCATTGTTCCGCGAGTATAACAGTATGAACAAAATCTGGTTTTCTTGTGAATGTTTGAACTCAACAATCAACCTAACTATTTTATGAAGCTGTGTTCTATATTTGCTGCACAGTTAAATGTTGAGAAAAGTATTTCTGAAACAATTCTATCTTATGATATAGAAACACTATCATAATGACTATCGATGTGAACAATAATATACTATACCATATTATACCCTAGAATGTACTACTGGATTTATATCTGATATGGGTGAACCTTGCCAGCAATGTGGTATTGGGTTGTACGGCAGAAAATGTGGCGACATATGCAAATGTAACGCATATGAGATGTAAGCATTTAATTTCGTAATTTTCAGTGGTTATGTTTATATGTACGGTGTACGAAAGTATAGTAATGTGCAAATTCACATCTACAATGCCATGCGTTAGTTCTGTATATCATGCACATGCTCCCTGATAACTCTTTACTTTAAAAAAAAACCAGATGTTTTGTGATTTGTGTTACCCTAATACTATAATACACTAGTAAATCACTTTTAAAACGGTCATTTTGATATGAAAACCTAAAATTCATTTACTACTCATAAATGTAATAGTTTGTTGGTTGTACTTAACCATGTTAAAAAAGAAATTTTTAAACAATGAAAATATTATGGCTGTACTATGAATCACAATAAACATGAAAAAGGACATAACAATATCAATCAGTTATAACTAATCATTGTAGACAAATAAACGCTGAAGTAATTGTTTTGGCCTTAACATTTTATTTTTTCGTCATTCGTTATGTATTGATAAACCTTATTTTAGAGTTATATTAAGAATTGTTTTTTTTTCCGATTTCACAGACATACATGTAACAATAACTGTTTCGACTTCCTTCCAGATGCAATCATGTCATAGGATGTTTAAATTTTACATATGAAGTGTCAAGTACAAAACTAATTGCAGGTAAATATTAGATTTAAACTTGAATAGATACATTGTAGCATAATATGAATGAAATCGTTAATTATTAAACTGCAGGTCTACAAAGTTTTTTTTTATGTTTGCATTGACACAATAGTCTACTGGTCAGTTAGCCCGTTATAATTTATGCTGGTATTGTATTAAAAGTGTACATAATTGTAAAAAATGCACATATTCTATTTCGGGCTATATCTCTTACATATATTTGGAAAGACTAACTATTCTCTGGTTTAAATGTCCTCTTTTACATTAAAAAGCATTGAAAGATAGACTATATCTAACAAATAAAAGGTTTGGACCTTGGTCAATTGGACTAAGGCCTTCCCTTTACAGAGTTTTCTCCATTTGTTTTCGCTCCTTGTTAATTATAGCTGACGTTCAACGAAGCAACCAGAACATTTATAATAGAAGTGATCATTTCTTTATTATATGGAATGTAAAGGTACACATTTGAAATCCAAGTTTATATTTTGAATTTAGCAGAAATACATTAAAATTAATATTTGAACATGTATGCTTTAAACTGTATTCGAAGCTACCATTTAAGTTATGCTGCGACTGTCGAGCTGTGCGGAGTGGTAAATAAGACTATTTCCTGTCATAACACTAGCTAATGGTAAATATCCCTTATATGAGTATATCCACATAAAGTGAAAAATAGAGTTGAAATTAAAGCAGTTGCCAATGAATTTATATCATCTACTATTGCTTTTTTAAGACATAAGTAACCTAAAAAAGAAGGCTAAAAAAGATTCATTTGATAACAATTCAATTAGAAAATTTATGTCATCTGTTTCCTTTCTTCTTTTATTTTCAACTTTAAACAGGGAGTGGACATACAGATAATGCAAAGACACCTCCTGACCAAATAGGTATATTACATTAACCATTGTCACGTTTATAGCAAACACAGAAAATGCTTGATTTGTCTGGAATCAAAATTCTCTGACGCACAGAATATATTTTATACATCACTTTTCTATCAATCATTACTGATGTTTTAACCAGAAACAATTATAAAACAACCTCCTTTCTAATATCGCAACATGTTAAGTATATAGGTTTTACTATTTTTCATTATTGTATAATGTCTCCAGTCAAGTCTAGAAATGTCAGTTATGGGTCAAAAAAAATTTTGATTGCAGTCAAAAATAGTACTCATACGGTTATCGAAAATAAAATGCATTAAACCTGTAAGAAGGAAGGCTATACATGATAGTCGACATGTTATACACTGTCCGTTATTCTAATAGATCGGTTTCTATAGATATGTGTATTATTCTAGTTAAACCGTTGTTAAAATAATTGTATATAGAGTTTTGATAGTCCCCATGGTATCTTACAACTCTTTTTTTTAATACTTACATATGTATTTTAAAGTGGAACAATACAATAAACCGTTATCATTTAAAATCATAATTTCAATGTTCGTTTGTTTCATTATTCATTGGATCAACATAGTTTATGTCAATTACATATTATTATACAAAACTAAAATTGACGTAATCGGAAAGTATCAAATGTATATGTACTCGCTACGAAACAAAGGAATGCTCTGTCAGTCTCGCTTTATTGCAGTTTCGCTAGGTCGTATAAATACATGTTATATTTTATGACAACCAGGTATTATTATTGTGAACTTAGAAATTTCAAAGTTAGAATACTCAACATGTTTAATATTTGAGTAATTTGGTTTCGCACTCATGATGAGAACAACATGAAATATAACTTAAATGCCAATAAAACAAACACATTAACGATGCAACTAACCATAATACATACATTGCATCAAATGAACAATATACAGTCTTAAACTATAGACACATGTTTTCACAACATGTTTAACTCTGTATCGCTAAATACAAACAATACAAATAAAACCAATACTTCGAAATGCTTTGCTTGGTGAGTGTTAATGTTTGACTATGTACTACTTATGCACGTGGTGGGTTTAAATCTCTTTTGTATGCATATAAACCCCCTTTTTCATTAAATAATCAATGCACAATTGAATTCCGGACAAGAAAGTGCTGACCATAAAAAAAATGGTTTATTAGAAAGTATACAAAACGCAACGTGTTCAAATTCAAACAGCAAATTTTTGTGCATTCTGTCCAGTTTTTTTTTGTAGGGTCACTGAAAAAGGAGACGGCTTTATATGTAGTTTGTACAAGTGTCGTTACGTTTGTATTGACCATGTGTTTGGTTACATTGAAACGTTACAGAAAAAGAAGAACAAACTTGAGCATGCAGATAGTTGTCAAAAGTGCAAAGAACGAGAATAATGCCAATGAACCAAACCAAGCGCAAGATTATAATGAAAGAGTTTATGATACAATCGATGAGTCGCAAATAATTGAAATGCCAACTCGACATCCAGATAGTGTTGAAAGTTCTTTAACTCAAGACGACATCAAACCTTCTGATGGATATCTCAATCCTTATCAACCAATGGAACCTGACCCCTTAATCCATGATTATAGCAAAGTCAAACCTTTAGGCGAAACTGATCCACCACAATACATCAATGTCCAAGGCGAGCATGTTTCTCTTCACAGACTGGTAGAAAATGACGCAAAACAAAATACTTCTGTTACGAGTTCCCCATCATCATTTCTAGACAAGAAAACAGACATGAAGCGTTCGGATTATATCAGCATGCATTAAATGTCATTCAAAACAATTGAATAAAACTCTCAATAGAGTGTCCTACCGAAACTTTAATCTCGAATTACAACTACGAAGCTTCTTAACAGTCCTAAGTTCAAAGCAACCTTTGTCAACTGATACAATGAGTAAAGCCGTTTTAACTTGTATTAGTTACAATTAAAGTCAAAATCATATTTGGTTTTTAAAAATCAAAGTGTTTGCATTGAATTTTAAATACAAAATATTGATTATTCCAATGAGTACAAATGTATTACAAAAGTTTTGAGGGGAACAATACTATGGTTATTATTACTCTTTTTCCATATAACAGAATCTAGCGTTCTATGCATGTTAAAAAAATCCTTGAAACATTCTTCGACCATCCAACTTAAAACCATATTCAAGCGGACGTTAAAATTCTCGCCTTTGATTTCGGTGGATTATGGATGCATGGATTTCATGTCTTTGTTTTTATTATTTGGTTTTTGTCCCATTTAAGTTTGATACAAACAGTGACACACTAATGTGGAAGAGATATACGATGGTCGTGAATAATTATTATTTGAAAGTATTAGATTCACATTTTTTTTATAGTGTAATGTATTCTAGCACCGTATTTATAAATGTGAAGGATTCGGAGGTACGATGGTCACGCTTAAATGCGATGGTCTGTGCCGAAATGCGATGGTCCTTTCGGTGATGTGCGATAACGCGTGATGGCTAGTTTAAAATCTACATATGTTCAATTATTATCAGAAATTGCTTTTTTATTAGTGAGTTACCAAACTTCAAGGAAAATTCAAAACAGAAAGTCCCTTGTCAAATAGCAAAATCAAAAGCTCAAACACATCAAACGAATGGAGAATAACTGCCATATTCCGGACTTGGTACAGGCATTTCCGTATATAGAAAATGAATGACTAAACCTGGTTGTTTTGCTAGCTAAAATGTTCACTTATATGACCGTTGCATAGAATTCCATTATATTGACAATAATTTGTGAGCAAAACAAACCATCTACGGTGATCTATCTTATTCCTTGCTCTCATTTACAGCAGCAGAATAGATTTTATTTAGCTTATTCTGTTTCATTCTAACTCATCAAGTAGTATGTGAATTTCAAACAACTTAAACGTTTTTCAGTCTTTTGACATTAGGACTGGTTTTAAAGGAAAATAACCTTTGTATGTAGCGTCTTTAGTGGTTTACGATAGTATGAACGACTGCTTACTTTTGTCGAAGACATTTACAAAGTACACTACAACGTAACAGGACTGAAAATGCAATGACTATTTATTATGACTGTTTTGAATAAAAACTAAGTTTTTAAAAGCTGCTTTTCAAACAAATTGTCTTCTTCATCAACATCTGATCATGCAAAACATTAAATATATCTTTTATTTAATCCATCGCACTTCAGTGTTATCCCCTTTGGACTTCGGCGTAACTATCAACAAGATATCGTCTGCGAGATAAAAAAAAAAAAGCACGTCAGCTTTAAACTATCGCATTGCAGCGCGACCATCGCAGTTCAGATTAGCATCGAGGGTCAGATTACCATCGAGGTTCAGAGTCTAATATATGAATGGAATTTTTCTTTTATGAGTTTTATTAAGATGTAAACGCAATGATCAAAGCAAAGATTGTATTTGGTACATAACTGATTCAAACTTAAAATTTGCAAACTTTCAATAAAACAACACTATAAGTTTTGAACGTCCGTAGCACCTTTCAAGAAATACCTACATCGAGAACGCACAAAGCAAACATTTGATAGCCAAACATGTATAAATACTTTATTGTTTAAAATATCGTACACAACATTAATGCTAAAGAAAGTTTTTGGTTTATTATATTCTTAACATTTGAACGAATGATTTTAGTGCAGAGCCCAGTGGCCTGTTGTAATTGGTGATGCGATTTAATGAAATACATATGTGTCTATTAAACTAGTAAGTATCTCTTTGATTGTGAAATAAAAGGAGCGAGCCGTGAAAAGACTAAGTATCTCCTGTTATCCATGCATAACCCGCTATGCAAGTTCGTACTCATTAAACAAGTTACAATCAAGTTGTACCATGTACTTAGACTATTAATGAGATATTACTCCCAAATACGCTGTTATATCAGTTGCATAACTCCATAGAAACATCAAACTCATTTATAGTGCAGAAATGCGATAAAGAACGGCGATTCTTTGATTTTGATGGGTTTAGTGTTCCCAACTTATTGGCCTTCCAAATGTTTCATAATGATGTTTAAATCCAGAAAAGCGCTTTGGACGTACCTGTTTATTAGCCTGGTATCGTTAATGAGTTTGTATAGGTTTAGATACATCACTGACTTTCAAAATGTTAAGGTGTGACTGTTTCTAGTTTATAGAAATGCACTCTGGAAGCACGGAATCTATCAACATTTTTTTTTTTTAACTTTGTCGGTCTCTCTCTCTATTTCGACATTGACCGTGTCACCTGTGTTTCTCGAGATTAAAAGTTTTGAAAACTAAAAATCATAAAATTAACAATTTAATAGAATGAATAGTGTAGGACCGAAAACATTACTAAACGTTGTTAATAAAAAAGGGCCATACATACGTGATATGCATTCCGTAATTTAAAATGTTTTGCTAAGTTTGACAATTGTTACAGCAATTTAAAAAAAGAATTTCCCTTAAATATAGAATGTGCACTTATACATTTCGACAATCATTCATTCCAAAACATAATTGCACCCTTTAGAATAACATCTTTTGGATCTTCTGCAAATATTGTAAAGTTAGGATATCTTTTTTTCAAATCATTAACAAACATATTGTCAATATGTTCTCCAACAATATACAAAACGCCAATTTCAGAAACCGATTCATCTAGAATCTTTGCTAATACTTGATATCTATATGTTGTTAAATTGACGAATTTCTCCTTAAATAGTTCATTACTTATCTTCACTTTGTCTGATACAAATTCTACATCAGACGAGAAAGTAGATTTTTTTATTGCTTTAATTATTGAAGTGCCTTTGGTGTGTTTATAACGATCAAACCATTTCCACGGAATTCGTATTTTAACTTTTTCGTCTCCTTGAATATGTTCCAATTGCAATTGAAAATTGTGAAGGGGTTTCATGTAGTCAAACGGATGTTTTTTTTTTAAATGTTGTGTAACCTCTTTAGTAAATAAACAAGTGAATAATCCAAACAAATCCTCAGAAATACCTCCATATTGACTAAACACAGTAGTTTTCATTGTGTAAGTATGTTGTTTAACTTCCATTACAGTTGAGGTAAATGATGTATCTGAAATTGTAAAAAAGTGAAGCTGACCCAAATGTACTTAAGAGACAATATAAAAATAAGAAACAAAATGGAACTTTGGAACATCAACATAAAGACAGACATGCATATAATTAGGAATTGACACTGTTCAGTTCTTGAAAAGTCGTCTGTGGCAGCAAAGAAACGAGAATGATAAATCTGTACAGATGAAATTCAACATGCATTTTAAATTTGGGAATATTACATAGACACAAATGATGATATTGACCACGGCATGCTCAATATATATTTAGTAGCTATTGTCGTGTCGTTTTTTCTCGTTTATGACTGCCAAATACAATTTTTCTAGTATTTACATCACATAAATATATTCACTAAATGACTATAGTGGTACTAGCTAAGATGAAATAACGTACCGTTCTGAAGCATTATACATTTTAAACATGTAGGTGTGTTAAAATTTTCGTTGTTTACTCTTATATGCGATATTTATTCTTGAAACATAATCTACAAACACTTGACAATATTTATGAGAAGCAATAGGTGTTTGTCGATTTCTTTTCTTGCTTAACTTAAAATTTGATACAAAGACCAACCTCACTGAAAGCTCTACATGGCACTAAGCACTTGCTTTAATAGGATTGTTTGCTACAAATACTGTTGACTACATAGCTGCTGGTAAATAAAACATGCTATAACGGACAAATTTATTTGACAAATGCCTTCAACAATCTCTTTGTTAATATACATAAGCTTAAGGCCTCTTCTGAACATTTGAAGGTCCTTCTATGCATTGGTTACATAAACTACACAAAACAACCAGTAAAATATCTTTTCATCTCGGCCTCTGGTAAGTTAAGTGTTCTACTAATCTTTCAGTGCTTTAAACTAGTTCCTTATCTACTTTCAAAGAACTTATAGTTAACTTTTATAATGAAATATATGAAAATAGTGGAATGAACTAGTTTTGGATGTTTTAGATAAATTACGTTCTTTTGATGGCAACCGCAGAACAACAGGCTCCTGACTTAGGAAAGGTGCATAAAAATGCAGCTGATTTAAACGTTTTAACAGGCGCAAGCCTTCACCCTAACCTGTGACAGTAGTGTAACATTTTAACATAAAAGGATACACTTTAGAATATCAACTGAAATGACTTAAGTCGATCAAAAAGACATTTAAACAAAAACAAGTAAACATACACTGAACGAATAAGTTTGACCGATGACGTTTTTGTACGTTTCGGCAATACAATTTATCGACAGGTTGTATGTATTCATGTGGGCACCAATTGCGACTCTTTAATAGCAGACTTGTTCTTGTACGGCTATGAATTAGAGTTTATGACCAAACTCAGTAAAAATCCGTCTAAATTGCATTTAATTGATAAATTCAACAACACTTACCGTTATCTTGATGATATTTTTTCGTTAAATATTCAGGAAATTTCTAAATATACTGCCGAAATTCACCCCAAGGAACTTACTTTAAATAAATCAAATATTAACGGTTATTACTATCCTTTCCTAGATTTAGATATTTCAGTTTTACACGGAAAACTCTACACTGTAATTTACAACAAAAGAGACGATATTTCGTTCCCTATTTTTAATTTTTCTTTTTAGGATGGTGGTGTTCCTTTGGCACCATCTTACGGTGTTTATCTATCACAACTCGTTCACTATTCCTGTGTTTGTTATGACGTTTTAGATTTTAATGAACGTAATCTATGTATTACTGATAAATTATTAAGTCAGGGATTTCTTGAAACCTTTACTAAATTCTTCCATAGATATAATGATTTGGTTTTGAAGTTTGTTTCTTCCTGTAGAAAACTTATTTCAAACGGGATATTACATCCTCATTTTTACAGAGATGTTGTATACCGATCCCGGAAATTTAGAAACGATCCGGGAAAACTTATCGATCCTTTTAATAAACTTATTATAAAAGGTTACCAGTTCAACAATGTAATTAGATCTTTGAATATTGTTTTTATAGGTATTAATATTGATTCTGTTATAAGTAAATTAAAATCAAACTAAGTATTATTTCTATATATATATGCACATTCATGGCTCTAAAATCTGTCGATACCTGTATCCTGGTATGGAACAAATTCATGTTTTTCTCAGACTGTTTATGACGTCTTTACACTAAATCCATTTGATATTCGATGTGTACTGATTGATATTTAAGTCTTAGATGCATGACTATCAAATCTGTACTTAGTGTCTTTTTGTTGTGGTGTTCACGTCCACTCTGTGTTTTTGCTAGATGTATTTCTATTTGTATCCATCTGATGAGTTAAGCCTTTTTCAACGGATTTTTTTAGTTGGTTCTTATGTTGTACTGCTACACCACGGTGGTTGGCGTCTTCAAACGAGTTTAACCCCGGCAATTAATTCTGTATGTGCCTGTCCCAAGTGAGGAGCCTGTAATTCAGTGGTTGTCGTTTGTTGCTGTGTAACATATTTGTTTTTCGTTCATTCTTTTTACATAAGTTAGACCGTAAGTTTTCTCGTTTGAATTGTTGTGCATTTGTCATTTCGGGGCCTGTTATTGTTGCCTATGCGGTATGTGCCTTGCTCATTGTTGAAGGCCGTACGGTAACCTATAGTTGTTAATTTTTGTGTCAATTGGTGTCTTGTGGAGAAGTAGAAGTGTCTCATTGAAATTTATACCACATCTTCTAATTTTTATAATCACGGGCATCTTAGAATATTTAACCTGATACACAAAATGTGTATGTTTTTCTATTACAAATTAATGTACACTATAGCACAGATTGAAGGAGGACAAGTCATATAGTGCACCATGGTGTATGCTGTTAATGAATAAATATTCAATAACTTAATCTAAAAGGTATACATATTTAGATGTCAAGTACGGAACACTGCGGCATCAGAGACACATTAAGTGATTATAAGTATATAACACGGAATTGACATGCATACTTAGGAAAGTCGAAAACTATGGAACATCTGAAAAAACCTATTTGTCAGTCCAAATGAGACAAGAATTGGAAAATGAGAGTATTCGAACAATTACTGAAACACATATATATATATATATACTTGTATGATAAATATAAATTGTACTTTGTCTGAAATTAAGCCTAACAATGTAAGTTCTACAGATCAAGTGGAAACATTTTTTTTTGGTTCTTCAATGAGATGTTTCTATCACATCAATGCAAAACTACCTGCATCGTATCCAACACCCCTCGATTACATAGGCTCTTCAAAAGAGATAGCTCCCTTTGGTCGAATTGATATTTTCCCATGTCGGTTTCATACAGAGTTAAAACACGGCACACTGTTTACCTAAATGCAGATACTGTGGATTCATTTATTTTCGTGGGTACAAATTTTCGTGGATTAAGGAAAACTTACATGTTCGTGGATATTTAAGTTCGTGGTTTTGCCGAAGTCTGCATACAAGCCTATAGAAAATATGTTATTCGTTGGACATTTAATTTCGTGGTTCACCTGTACCCACGAAATCCACGAAAATTGGTATCCAACGAATAATAATGAATCAACAGTAATACATATTTAAGATCAGCAACTGGTGTGCAAAGGCTTAATCATGATTATTTGCTCTGCATTTTCTTCAATGTTAAATATCACTGCGTCGTCCCCTTTTTTTGTGTATATGGATATCCTAAATAAATGTTTAAAACGATGAAAACTTTATCTTTTCGAGCGATTTTATATTGTTTTGCAGGCAATAGAAATTTCGCATAAGTTCTAAGTCGATAAAGAATAATGTTATATAGACTACTAAATAACGTTGTCGGAGAAAATGAGTTACCTTCAACATCCAGAACAACACACGTATAGCTCTTCTTTAATTCAGGGCCTTCTTTGTTAAATAAGTTTGAAGAATGTTGAGTGTAAAATTTAAGTACAACTTCAGGTGCTTCTAATAAAATAAAATTACTTGAGATTCCCACCTAAAAAACAAATACACATAAAAACATAAACAAGGACAACACGAATAACTAACGATTATGAATAATACAACAAACCAGAACATCCATTGAGACCCTACGCATACGAACACATTCTAAGAAACAATGACGAACAACAACACAAACAAAACATGGTCCATTTTGATTGTTATGGTGCAGGCTCAAACAAGGAGTAAAACTTTGTTAAACTTGTTTCAAGATCCCACAAACCTCCCAATATATCTTATAATACCATCATATGTTTCATTACGAATGCGAATTGGATATCGCTTGATATCAACTCGAATTATTTCATTTCAGATTAATAAAAAACGAGACTTCGGCGAGTTTATTATTACTATCTATGCCAAACAACGAGAGTTGTAATCAAGCGATATCCAATTCTCACTTATTGGTAAACCCCTTTTCTCTTATGGTGACACTCTCCTTGTGTCAAATTAAAAATTCCGCGAATCATTTATCTAGTCGTTTGCACATACATGTACCGGTATGACGCCATATGTCCTGTTCCGGTGTCAAGCTTTATTATCAGACATTTTGAAAAATTTTTGTATGCTTCAACATTTGACAAAAAGAAGATTTGCAGGTGAAATGTTTGAGTTTTTGTATAATGTTGAAGAAATCAAATTATTATGTCCGAGTCATGGACAAAATGTACATCAACTTAACCTTTGAAATCCATCAATGTTCTCATGAATAGCCAATGGAAATATTGTAGAATCGTCTCATGATGCTGGATCAGTCAATAAAATTAACGCAATTTACGTACCACTTTTTCGTATCACACTCAGTGTAGTGTGATATAAGAAAAATTTCTTCATACAAGAAATATATAACAGGCTACAACGGTTACCACAGAATATGTGATAAAAGTAAAAATTGCACATTATAACTGAATGTACCATCAGGACGATTACAACTGAAAATAGACCGTTCTTGATATGAAAGGTAGTGTTAGAAAGGGCGATCAGAAGGTATCTTAAATAGTCTGACAATCAGGCATTTAACAAATGAGAGAATTTTTAAGTGTTTTAATGTTTTATTATTTCTGTTGTCGCCATACTAATTAGAAGTAGAATGTAAAGTACAAATAAAATCTGATGTTATTTTTAAGGGAACTGTCTTATTTATTCATATTTTTTTTCAGGATGGGGAACTATTTAAAGCTTTACAATGTGTTGACGTACGGAAAACTTAATGTAAACAAATGTTTGTCGCCGTCTAGATGTCTTTACGGTATTTTTGTGTATGGTTGTTGTCTCATATTTCCTTTTCATAATTGAACAGCAAAACAATAACGATGTAACACTTACCATTTCAATGGCTTTCGTAATGAGACGTTTTTCCTTGTCTTTCAAAATAGCTGGTACAACTAACGTCAACATGTCAATTGTAAATGTGGTACATTCTTGATTTAGCTCTGTATGAAACTTGAGTTTTATTTTGCTGATAAAAGCAGCAATAACATCAACAGCTTTCATTTTGTGTCTGTTCTGTGCAATTCTTATTTTGATATTTCCCTCCATTATTTCCTTGATTTAAGTTTTAGTTTAATATAGATAATAAATAGGAATGAATATCAAAACTTTAACAATCTAAAATGCTTCTTTCAATTAAAACAATGTTCTAAGAAAACACAAAGATATTTTAATCTTAATCAAGATATTAAAAAGAAAGAGCAATAAAAATCAAAAGAGTTCATTGATTCTCCAACAAATGTATAAAAGATGACAAAACAGCTAATGAATAGTAAATAATATCAAATTAATGAATAATCGCGGTAACTAAAAACAAGCTGAAAGTTCTAAACATACTGTTTAGAAGCATGGCAAAATTCATTTTGTATCGTAAAAAACAATGCTTTAATTGTCACCATGGAATTTAAAACCTACATACCATCTGGGTTTCGAAGAAGAAGGAACATTTCATGTTATACATGTTATAGAAAGTTACGCGAAATATATGTCATAACATGAATAAGACATTTTTATATATAATTATAAAATGAAGGACATATTTATCATAAAATGAATGAAATAGTTATCATAAAACGAAAAAGACATTCATATAAATCATGATAAAATGAATGAAATATATATAAATATATATATAATAAGCAAGTCTAAAAGGGTACAACATCACCAAAAAAAAACCAAAAAAACATCATGAACAAATGTTAAATATTTCGGAGAACTAATAAATAAGATGTCAAATAATTCTTATCTTGACATGTGGTAGTCAAACTGAATTAATAATCTTGATCGTTATATAAATTATCACGAATCAATACGCTGGTAATTTTTTTCAATATTGATGTTTGGGAGGATGAATAAATTCCTTAATACTGTAAGATTCCTGTACTGAAGCCTAAGTTACAGGAAACAAGTGATGGTAGGGACTAATTCTATGTTTTTTTTTCATCTATGCCCTCTGGGGAAACTGTCCTTAACTTTCTAATTCAAAAGTTTCCAGGGCAAGTCTGTCGGCCCTTGACCAACCCTCGTTGTGGTCTATGATAGTGATGGTAAGGTTTTTGAGATCAGCTTGGGCGTGCCCAGGTGATCTCAAATGACGATTTATGGGGAGGTCGGGTTTGCAGGTGAAGTCACTTCGATGACCATTCATGCGTTGGTTGAATGGCTGTTATGTCTCGCCAACATACTGCATGCCACATCGACACTGAAGAAGGTATACAACATTCTGGGTTTTGAAAATTACATTGCAATATATAGTGTATACGGACCCAGTGGGGTGGATTTTTCAGACATTATATATATATATATATATATAAAAGTCTAAATTGAAAACAACGTTCAAACCTATGATTGCGTTGGATAAAAACCGCAATTTTTATACGTGTGCATGTAAAACAAGTTTCTTGGTAGAGGGGTCTAAATACAGCACAAACAACATTTTCCAAAAGACCAAAAGAGTGAAAAAGTATATTGTAACAAAACGCATTTGACTAACAGGTCGAACAACAGATGTTCTTAAACCCTGCTGACTGCCATTGGCGATTGCCAAATAAATTGATCACCAGATTTAACAAAATGGATCTTAATATTAATTTAATACCAAACAGAAAAATATTAACTTGCGGAAAGATGGTATTCCACAAACTTGAGGTGCAAAAATTTGTACACCATATCCGGATTTCGACAATTAATGTCTCTTCAGTGATGTTAAGGATCGAAACGGTATTTGGAAGGCCATATAATTTACCTCAATTTAGGATAGACTCTTGAATTTTAAAGAGTCGAAATAAGATGAACGGATCATATAAACCCTAAGGCAAATATATATATATATGTGGCATGATTGTCAATGAGACAACGACATAAACCACTGAATGAGCTGTTAAATGTGGTGGTGTTGCAAATTTTATACCACCCATCCCCTAGCGAAGCTAATCTCATATGATCGACATGTAACACAAAAACAGCTAACAAGACGTTGAAAACACAAAGTGTGGATCTAAGAGTATTCACAGTTCATGATAGCTTGTTCACAGTCTAATACAACTAATGAAAGAATAATTCTGTCAAGACCACAAATCAATCAGCACGCATCTGATGGATATACTGTAAATTCAGAAATTATTGCGAAGTTTTTATTAATGCGAATAATGCGACTGGTTGAGTAACGCAATAATAAGAACTCGCATTCCGAAATCTTATACACATATCTTTATGCAGATGATTCTGAATTCGCAATAATTAATCTCGCATTTTTGTCTCTTCCTCTAAAATCGCAATAATAAATGCACGCAATAATTTCTGAATTTACAGTAGTCCATTTCGTAATAAATGTCTGAAAACAACATGACCTTATGAAGTATCAAAACAAAAATTTCGACCTGATGTAGAACAGTTACTTGTGTCAACTATATAGCAATAACTACATGTGTCTATATATTTGGTTATTTTTTCATAATTTTTCAATTTTATGAAGAAAACTTATTTAAAGGATCGACAAGTTTACAAGGAACTTATCTAGTGCTACACAAACAATATATGCATTTCGCCAAACCGCACTGAATTTCTGATTACTTTAAAACTTCACGCTATTGGACACATACTATTACATTTTTTTTCGTGCCAGTGCGATTGGTTCATTTAATTAATTGTATGTTTATCACTTTTTTTAAACTACACAATTGATTTAAATTTCAAACCCTATAATAAAGCATGAGTATATCTGGTAAAGAATGTTTACCTCTTGTTCCCAAAGTGTCGACACTAAGGTTGGAAAAAAGAACCAATTTTTACGATCCTTCTTTTGTATTTTCTTATAAAAATATTCTTCTGCTTCGAATCCAATGCTGTGAGTAGATTTGTCTTTATTGAATAAGATTGCTGTAGACGTATACTTGAGTTGACCTCGTTCTTTTGTAGACCATGTTAGCAGGGAAGATTTTCTTTTTTCCTTTGTTGAATCAGGTAAAAAAAAGGCACTTGCCGAATAAGTCAAACCAATATTGACTACTGCATTGATGGGTATTAGTACCTTAAATATTCAGAAAAAGTAATTGTTTAGTTATTGTTTTATCCAGTTAAAATTCTTAAAAAAATTATTCAAATGGGTTTTAATTATTTATTTATTTTGATATTGGCCGTTTTTTATTTACTGTATCCAATGTTGGAGTATTTGTCAGGTTTTCTAGATGGAGTACCTTTCGTAATGAATTAATGTATCACTTTTGGATGACATGTTCTTCAAGGTTATTTAGGTATACTATAGTAAATATTAACAATGTATAAGCTGAAATATATAACTATTCACTTGCATTGATTTGATATTGACCTGATTATCACATCGCGTTCTTAAAAAGTTCGTTAATAAATTATCAAATTATTGAGAATCTAAGGTTCCGACTCCCTTAGTCAAAGATGACCTTAGACATGTAAGAAAGATTTAACTATAATTAGTGGGTCCCCTTTGTTCATATTGCTCTTCGCGTATTTCGAGTCATCATTGACTTTAATTATTTGGACTAAAGCGTTCCTGGTGAAGGTAGGTAAAACGAAAGCTTCGGACGAATACGATTTTTAAAGTTTTATTATCTCTTTTTGTACAGTCCGAACAATGATTTGCGTTAATTTTCAGCTAATTATAATACCAGGTTAAATCCACCATTTTTTAAATAAGGAAACGAGTCAGGAATATGACAGTTGTTTTCCATTCATTTGATGTGTTTGAGCATTTGTTTTTGCCATTTGATAAAGAACTTTCCTTTTTGAATTTTCCTAGGAGTTTGCTATTTTTGTTATTTTTCTTTTTCCGTTACCATGGTAACCAAGAAACATGTTCCTTTGATTGTAAATCGCATCTTTTTTCTGTGCTTCTGTTATTCCGTAATGCTTGGTGTGTGATGTTTTAGAGCAGATTATAATACTACATTTATAACTTGATACCAACTTATATTAGCTAATGAAAGTATTCTTCAAAGTAAGGAGATGGGTTTATATATGAGATCTGCTCCTGTTTCGTAATCACATTTTTGAATAACATTAAAATTTATAATTATAGTCATTTCGTATCCCTACCATTCCATACCCTTGCAAAGTTAGTTCGCAGCCTGACCATAGTTCCTTGACCCTTTCGAACGTCATGGAATATTTAAATGTATGCCATTTCGTACCTTTTGTAATATATCTATGTATGCCATTTCATATCTCATGGAATTGTTATGTGCATACCAATTTAGTACTTTATGGAATATTTATATGTATGCAATTTCATATTTTATTGAATATCTATATGTATGCCATTTCGTACCTCATAGAGGATTCGTATGTATACCATTTCGTACATCATGGAATAATTATATGTATGCAACTTCGTACATTATGGAAGATATATCTATTTCCTCACAGCGTATTTATATGTGTGCCATTTTGTACCTCATGGAAGATTTATATCTTATGCTTTTTCCTAATATATTTGTCAAATTGAAAAAAACCAGAGCAGGTTCTTTGATTGATCACATAAGATGCAAATTCTTATGTAGACAATTTTGTTCATGGCTTTTTTTTTTCTTGTGTTACTTTTCATTGCATGTCCTGGAAAAATTAACTGATAATAACTATAAAAACAGTTGCTGATAATTATTCCTTTGAATGTTAATTAACTTCATATTTTGAGAGCTACAAAAATAGTTAAGAATACACACTGCGAAAATCAGTATATCAAAATCATTTTGTTTCGATGTACTGCTTAAATCAACCAATTTTTGGAAAATTGTACTACCGAAAATATTTCATTTATGTTATAAGATGCAACAAAAAATTGAAATAATTTCAAAATGTTTTATAACATAGTTAACCTATTTACCTTAAACAACACTTTTAACATTTTTAATATATTTTGTTTGAATGGACCAGTATGCTTTGAATATTAAACATTTTATAAACTTATAACGAGGAAGTATGAAGGTTATTTCCTTTTTTGAATTATTCATCTCTAGAAATATCACTAAAACCGATGTTAATTTTGAAAATATATGATACAAAATAGTAAACACGAATTTGGTATATACTTATTTACTTACTTACATGTATTTACTTATATAATGTACGAAATGGTTTATGCAGTTCGTCCATACGGTATGCAATGGTTTTGATCATTGGATCGACATAGTAAATGTTGGGTACGAAATGGGTAATTTTTGGTACGAAATGACTATAATTATAAATGTAATTAAAAAAACTACCAATATTTCGTATCTTCTTACTCTTGTACATGTATTTGTGCATAACGAATTATTTGCAAAATGTTACTATTCTTTTTAACTTAATGGTGAAAAACAAAACTGTTTGTTTTAAATTTTACTAGAGATGTGGAAGATACCAAAGAAAAATTCAAACTTATAAATCAAATGCAAAATGACAACGCAATAGCCTAAACAAACAAAACACTACCAAATGACATAAAACAGTCTACACAATAAAGGACCAGGCAACACAAAACCCATACAAATCGGAGTTAATCACAGGGGGTTCAATAAAGTAGACCAACACTACTCTACTTGTGGCACTCGTCATGTTGCTTATGTTAGTTCAAATTAAAGGGATAAGTATAATTCGTTGTCACATTCTAGAAAAAGAGGACGGGAATGGGGTTACGACAATTGGAATTAGAACTTATCCGTCCTACAAACTACAACTACAAATGAAGGATAACGTTGTGAAAAATTTGTTTCCGTAATTTGTCTTTTGAAACAATATGTGATTTTTTTTAATTATTTTATCTCTCCCATGCAAGTCAAATGAGATTCATAAACACTATCAAACATAGATATGCGTTTCAATCCATTTTTTAAGTTCTGACTATTTGTATTAAATCATTTCAAAAATATCGAATTGTGTATTATACGATTCACAAATTGTGCTCGAATTATAATTGCAATGATGAGGAGCTTTGTACATTGTTGCACCAACATTTCAAAATAGTAAATTGTTTGTTATGTATTTTATGATGTTTTTAGTAACATGCATTCTTTGTAAATATTATTTCAAATGTTTAATTATTGATGGGGATGGGGAAGAAATTTTCGGTTCAAAGCAACCACTTAACATTTCCCTTAGGATAAAGATAACATATCGAATGCAAGCATCATAATATTTGCGAATAAATTTATTTGCAAGTTATAACCTTTAATTCGAAAAATGGTCGATGAAAATCCATTTTAAAATAATTTTGATTTCCTTATCTTGTAAGATTTCAGATCTGTGAGGATATGCAAAGTTTGCTTCAGGTATCCTTATCATAAGAGAAATGAGGGTATAATAATCAGTTATGACTTTTGTGCCAAGGATTTGGACACTAAAACCTGATTACACTGTAAACCAATTTTTAACTTAACCGTACGCTTTGATCTAAACAACTCGAAAAAGTTTTTTTCAAACTTTGATATCAATTTCGGTCTTATTCACTTCGGTGAATTTAGTACCATAAGTATAATTCGTTTTCAGTTAATTAAAATGTGTCCGTCTATGTTCCAATTCTTTAGTAGAATGTAATTTATCTGTACGAAACCTCCAAAAAAAACTACACTCAATTGTTTTCAAAGCTACAGAACATACTCGGATTTACTGCCAGCAAATTTCCGCAAGGTACTTAATTAACAACAAATAAACTCTCAACAAGACGTCTTTAGTGTTAGAATTAAACTAATGTATTATTGATTTTTTTTTTAGATTTGATACACGGGTTCAATTAGAAAACAAACATACAATCATATACATATTGTACATTGTTTATCTACTTCTATTATTGTGAGGAGTGATGCTTTTTTTTGTTTTTATACCTACTCATCCAAAAAACATTACACTAATATTTGGTTTAAAATTTCAGCATACATATTTTAATTATTGACCAAAAAACACTTGACAGTAATGTAGACATCACAGTTAACAAATATAATCAATATAACAATTATCAATGGAGAATCAAAATGAATTTTGAAGAAAGATGGACAAAAAGACCAGCATGTCTGGCATATATAGATATGACATAGCTGTAATTTGGAAGCTAACGTATAGTTTTGAATGAAAAACATGTTGTTTCAAAATATTTTTTATTATTCTGTAGAGTCCCTTTGAAGTATTTTGTTACTTTTAAACGAAGACGGATTTGTCGTTTTATGATATTGGATCATGTATTGCTTGGAGTTTCTTACTACAAAATATATAGTTATGTTGTGAGTGTTTTGTTCTTATTTTTTTCGATTTGCTACGTATTTGGTCATAAATATAATAGAAGACGAATCAATTATAATAGACATAAGTGAAATGTGTTTAATATTACCTTTGAAGAATCTGTCATGTATTCGCCACTTTTCTTTTCATGTAATAGTATAACCTGCAGTTATCAAACACACTATATTAATGCATCAATGTAGGAACATGCTTATAAACAGTTATCATAAGGTGGTTCGGTCAACAATTACTCTTGGTGTTGATTTGTCACAGTCAATGCGTGTTATAATCTCCTGGTGAGTACTGTAGACATATACATAACTTGTGCAAAGAGTGTGCTTATTTCATTTTGTCATAAGGATATTATTATTTAAGCAGACTGTAAAAAAGTATCAATAAGAATATCAAACCCTGAGGTAAATTCAAAAAGAAAGAGTTCATACAACCTGTCAGAGTTCGACTATATCAACCAACGTAACGTACGGAAAACAACTGTCATCTTCCTGACTTGGTACAAGGGCATCAAATGATAACGAACTATTAATTATATAGCTCAAAACGAAAAGGAATCAAAAGACGAATATTATACAAACTCAACATAGAAAATTTAAACAGAGCAACACGAAAGTCATACGGTCGAGTTGATTTATCCTTCATATAATATTTCCAAGATTTCTCGCATGTTCTACAAAAGTAACGATGACAGTCATGCGCGAACGTGGTAATCACTAGTAATTTTCCGGTTGATCGACTATGTATGTATAAGAATAAAAACAATCATCTTTTCACATTATTTCCAGATTATTTATTGAATTTTCTGATATTTGTTTGATTTATTTGCAGTCACAGTGTCCGTATAGAGCATAAAAAAAACATAACAAATATTTGTCTTCCAAATGCGATTTCATATTTACTTTTGATCTAATTTAAAATTCTTCCTACAAACATAAAATTGACGATGATG